GACAAGAAGTCTCCAACCAGCGGAGCACCGCTTCGTCCAGGACAACTCCTAAGCTCCCGACAAGGGTCGATCGTGTAGTGTATGCGAAGGCGTGTGAAAGTAAGGGATGGGGAGAGGACAAGGAAGAAGAAGGAAAGATCTCGCGCGGTCCGTTTGTTATAATACTGCTCCGTCATTTATCACATCAGTTGATTCTCTGAGCCTCCTTTGCGGTGTAACCTTCTCCACGTGAGTCCAGCGGCCGCTTCCCCGAACGAGTACAAAGCGGGGCGGGAGGTAACGCGTGACGGGCTTCCGTTTTGCGGCGGATGACGGGTGGCGGGGCGCGGGCGGCGGAGTGATGCGACGCGACGCGACGCAGAGCTGCGCAGCGCTTCTTCATAATCAGCGTAATTAATTAACCCTCTCGGCTGACGGGTGCGGATCGATGATCACGGGATGCGGCAGCGCCGCGGGTGGGAGGGCGACGGCACGGAGGGGGGGGTGAGCGACAGACAGCGACTAAAGGGCGCGCGCCGGCTGCGACGGGGCAGGAGTTGCGTGAAACGGCAAGGCGGTTGGTTGCTATTTTCTCCAGGGAGGGACATTCAAAGCTTCAGGATGGGACGAATCGGAGAATTGATGAGTAAAACGAAGACTACCTTCGCGTACGCAATGCAATCAGAATGAATACTAAGTAAGCACTCGGAAACTGTTTTGGAGAAGAATTTCCTTGATTTGGACGTTTAAAAGGATGGAAATCGTAAATGAGATACCTAGAATGGATTGAAAATATCATGGGAAGGAAATCAATACTTCAGCAGTGTTCATCAAACTCTTTGGGAGAATGATCCCCGACATTCCCTTCCCTATCAAATCGCATTCTGGAAGGGTGGGAGATTAGACTTTGCGAGCTACTCGGCACTGGGTCCATGCACGCCCGGGATCTGTGATTGATTGTCGTTTGCGGGCACCGCACCAACAATTGTCTTTAGTCTCAGTGTAGTGAATGTTTGATCCCGGGAGGAGGTGTTGATTCCTTTCCCCGCTGGACCGTGCGTTTTGGCGAAGACCTACACGTGGGCTTAAAAGGATTCCCGCCCCCCTATTTTGACCTGCGGCACCGCCTCATACGGGGCAAGTAAGGGGGTAAGTTTCCGTCTGGTATCCCAACACGTATGGTAGAGTAGTGCATGCTAGGTCGATGCCGATGTTTTCAAAACATCTGTGTTTTAAACATCGATGTATTAATACCGATGTTTTATTTACATCCATGTTTTTTTCTTTTTGTTTTTGTTCTTGATGTTTTGTTGAATGCAAAATTCCCATGATCATAATACTGTAAAAGTTAAAATATAAAATATTTACTGATAGTAACTCTGTTATTAATGTGTTGGAACCAAAGGTGAAGGAATGCTGGTTGCACTACCTACAACGACCAAACTGTAACCCGAGATGACCTCTATGCCATTGTATTTCCTCTTCATGTTCATTTTGCATTCAGAGATACGGCCAACAAGTACGCTTCTTATCGTACTCATATTCGGCGAATTGATAAACACGAACTTTGTCAAATTTTATTGCACACGAATTTAATGTTAGAAGATACTAATCAAGTCCAAAAATATCGATATTTTTTCGTCGATGTTTTAATTTTGAACATCGATGTTTTGTAATCGATATCGCAACACTAGTGCATGCAAAAGGAAGTATGTGTGAGAGGAGAGAAGAAGTCGGAGAGTTCGCGCGGCCGTGGCCCGTTTGATGAGGAACTGCTCCGGTTTTCGCCTGGTGTTGATCGAAAAAACAACAGAGAAAACTACCGATCAGAACAGCCGACAGAATTCCTCTCGAGTCAACGGATGAATTCGACTTAGCTAGTGCCGTAAATCCGCCACGTCGGGACTCGAATCCTTGCGGATAATAGTCGCTGCAAAGACTGTGGCAATGCTGGCTCGGAGCTAAACACAGCCGGTGTGATAGTTTGATCTGTGTAGACTTGTGCGTATTGTGGTGTACAATCCCTTGGAGCACTCAAGACGAGCAGGGGGCATATCCCATCCCCTCGCTCCTCCGTTGCTTGCCTTTGGCGTGTCGCTGTAAGTCCTGTAGAGGAGTGGGCCCAACACCGGACGACGCACACATTCTGAAGAATACAGCAAACCACGCAGCCTTTCCTGAAGGAAATCAGAAGCCGACGTGTGCCACAGAGGCTCGTGCTTACCCGGTCGGGTAGAATGCCACGGATGAAACTCTCAGATTCCCTAAAGTGAATAGAAGTGCGTTCAAATCCAGTAAAAACATTGAAGATAAAGTAAAGAGGTAGGTGAGAGATTGGATGTGAGAAATTTCAAAATTTTATTGATTGACCAAGGAACGTGGTGAACTTTAACAATTTTTTCTCGGCGGCAGAGAGGAACTACAAACGTGTGAGAAATTGTGGTGGAAATTGTGAGCATCTGTCACGTGGGTAATTAGATCTGATGACAAATATGTTTATTAGGATTTTACTGGATGTATGCCAGATAGTGGCAATTAATCCACTGATTTACTGCACTGAATGCACTACAAAATAAAATAAAAACCAAGAACTACACACATTCACAGATCTACTCAAACCTAACATAACTGATAATTAAAGTATAATTTAAACAAGTATTTATATCTATACAACCTACATAATCAGTGAATATAATCGTGTTCATTACTTGCGCATCGGTATGGATGTATATTCATTGATATTTACGGGCAAGTCAACGGCAATTATTATGATCATTAGTCCCATCGGTGTAATAAATGTTTTTAGCGTGGGGTTCCGTTGATTCCTTTCCCACTGGATGGTACAATACAGGCTTGTGGGGAATGTCCGTATACAGGTAACTTCCGCCAACGAGGCACCGCCCTAGACAGGACAAGCCCTAACCTCCTGACTGGTCCCCTCACCATGTGGTTGTGTAGTGCATGCAAGCATGATTGTGTAAGGGAAGATCATAGAACGAAACAGAGGAAAGAAAGACAGCGCGCCATCCATAGGTTACTGCTCCTGCATTCACCGGTATTGATCTGAGAAACCATGAATAACTACAGACAAGAGCAGCCGGCCGCTACTGAATTCGACCTATCTAGCTAATGTCAAAAATCTTCCGCCATCGGAAGTCGAACCTGAGGCTTGTTATTCAAAAGCTCTACAATAACCACAGTTGTTGCCCTAAATATCTCGACCGGTGGTTGTAGAAGGACGGTTTGGTGGAATGATTCAAGATTGAGCGAGCAGTGAAATCCAGACGGACGGGATGACAATTAGGTGGGCTCTTAGGAGCTTGAGGGCGCTAGGTAGATGACTGAAACCGATGAGTGGTTTATTAACAAGAACAAGCCTTGTGAAATACCGATTAACGAGAGGAGAAACGAACTGGAGTGTTTGAAAAGTATAGCAGGATAAGAATTTACTCATACACATGCCGGATATGCTCTGGGAAGTTCATATGGTTTTTGACGAAAGAAATTTCTCTGCCCAAAATAAAGGATTGATGGTTGTGATTAGAGAACATACGCCTAATAGTGGACAGCTGGATTTGCCAATCAGAAGTACGTATGAGTACGACGATTAGAAAGGAATTTCCTGGATTGAAAAATAAATAATGATAATTGGATAAGTCGCAATCAAAAAAGTGAGTGATACTCTGCCAATTCAAGTTGTTTGTAACATTATATCTAGCACATTTTAATCACATCATTGCCTCACGCAAAATTTTAATATTAGAAGGGCTCGAGTTTGGAAATATATTTGACCCAAAACTATAAAGGTAGCCCTTTCATTGATTGGTAAATCTAAGAGATTAAAAACAGAAATGTGTATTTTGATACTAATATCACCAAACAATGGACAGTCATTCTTTGATTCTAAGGAAACAGTTTGATAGAGATAGTCACCACTAGTTTCATAGCCCCTGCTTACAGGGAGTCGAAAGTGAGCCACATTATTCACATCCGATTCCTTAGTAGTTAATCTTCATAGTACATTTCGAAGGATTTTAATGAAATACGAGATCAATAATCGTTCTACATACAAAAAGCAGTTGTTTAATTAGTTTTGCGATAATTAACATTGACAGAGGGGGGTTAAAGATCCTCGGTGGCTTGTTGGTTAGACTGCTCGCTTTCCACTGCGCAATCCCGGGTGCACTTCCCGGCCAGGGCAAAATTATAACTGGGCGCTTTCCTTACACATGTCCCAGTATCTACTGTTGCGTGACGATGAGAAACACCACCGTTTAAGAAGACGAGTATATACTGTGAAGAGATGCCTTCGTGCTAACAACATGAACCCCTTATGGAGAGAGGCTGGGCCACCGCTAAACGGTGAAGGCCCTTATTCGACTGTCGAGCCAAAGGACAGGACAGGAGGGAGTAATACTATACAAGGAATGGAATATGAATAATAGTCCATTAAATATTCTTCAATCGAGTTAAGAATGGGCGAATTTCATAAATGAAAGTGATTTGTACTACTCGATTATTTCTAACATATATTGATGTGAGAACTAGCAGATCAGCAAGAGAAAATGGGGGAAAAAGCTTTCGAAATAAAAAAAAATTATGGAATGAACAGAATGAATTTAAGGAATTTTATTGTTCATAATTCGGAGGAAGAGCATCTATTGCATCTGTAATGAATTTTGTTCGCATCCGTATGTTGTTCTTATCCGTATTTATTGTCCATAGTATCTCGGACAATCGTTTGAAATAATTTTTATAGAATAATATTCTACTTCGTTTAAAGGGGTTGCGAACTGTTAAACCAATGCCCAGTAGCAGACTTCAGGCCAATATTTAAGGGAAGCGACACTCTAATAGTCCTTCAGAATCCAGGAACTTCATAAAATCAACTGGAGAAAATAGTATAGTACACTTATTTCCGGCAATTACATGCAGGCAAGAACAAGTAGCAATTACATGTAATACAACACTGAACTGACACTGTGAGGTTGGAGAGCAGAAAAGGAAAAAAAAACAACAGATGTTTTCAAGTTCACGAAGATCTTTATTTTCACATATGCACAGAATTCATTATTAAAATGAATAACTTCTCATTAATGCATACCTGATGAATGCTTGAATAATGGAAATATTCTCAACGAACTCCTGTCGCTTTGCGATATTGTCCGAACTGCTCCAAGTACTGATTTACAGTATCAATTGGCTGATACAGCTCATTCATGCGATTCTGTAACAAGAAAAGTCAAAATCAGTAAATTAGTTTGCGAATTAAAAATTCCAAACAAGATTTAAAATTGTACAAAGACGATCAAGAAACACAACCAACTACCCTTTATGACGCGAGAAAAAATACAACAAAACACATCAAAACACAGAACTGACAGGTACTTAAGATCTGAAAATAACGAACTGATGAAAATAAACAAAATCTTTTAGGTAGAAGAATTAGTTTCAGTTCTATGCTAGTTTAAAGTGTCAAACACTGCAGCCAATTTGACAGTGTAGGTACATAAATCAATACATATACAAAACGTATTCTGTAAATCTGTTAATTAATATGTTAAATGAAACATACCCCTTCAAAATTTATTTCAACACAATACAATAATGCGATTTTGTTTTAAAATGTTGTACATTCGTATTCTGTTAGGTATATTTTGTTCTGTATTACTTGCTTTCGACATTGTTTCCATAACTAATGTAAATGATAGGTAATGTATTTCTATGTAGTCGCTATGACCATTGATGACGATGCAACATAAACGAGAAAAATAAATTTAAAAAAATAAAAAAAGAGGCTAATAAACGATATTCACAACAACCGGCTCACTGAATGGTCTGTTTCTTCACTAACCAACCAAGTAATACTTGAAAATAATACAACGGTGTTAAAGCTTTTGAAGCGTTCCTCTACTATAATACACAAAATAAGACCTTCCGATACATTTTTAGGGTTTAGGCTCTTCTAGATACCCCTTCCCCCTTAATGTTAAAGGGGGTCAATGGCTCTGAGAGGTTCGTTGCAAAATCTTCAATATTTCGGATATGAGGCAAAGAGGAAACTTGAACTTGAACGTCGGTACGGAAGTTATTTCTAATCACTAAATTTTGCAACCTCTGAGATCAAATACACAATATCATTACAACATTAATAAATAAAACGTCAACAACAATTTTCATCGTTGATCAGTTGAAAGTTTACCATTTTCACAAAGGCATACCTCTAAATTAATAACTGAAGTAGATAAGTTATAATAACAGATTTTCGTTAAATATGCTGTCAAGCTGGATAATACCAGCAAATGATATAAATTTACATAAAATCACGAATATCAAGTTTCACATGAACAATAAGCTTATTCGATACACGAAAACGAATTGCGCAACAGATTATGTGGAATTATTTAAAGCGGAAATGCTAGTATTCGCGCACTCGGCAGAAATTGCTATCCCCGGCGCTCACAGATCAGAAAATCCATCTTCACTGGAAGCAATGATACTTTGGATTTCATTTTTTCAGTTTGAAAAGTCTATTTTAACAAAAGAAAACCTTTTTTATTGGAGTTTAATATCATTGTTGGAGTTTAATATCATAATATTGACATTAATATCATTTTGAAGAAGTAAACCCATTTTTGATAATAATGGGCACACGGGAAGTTTCTTAGACGTCGATGTCAGTTATATCAGTTGTTAACATTACTTCTCAAAGAATATATATTGTACAACGTTGGAAAAGATATCAGTGGAAAATATTGTAACGTATTAGCCAGCGTGCCTCGTGGCATCTATTGGGGGACGCTTGGCAGAGGATTAGCCTCGCCACAGAGAAGAAGGTTTTTCCGTAAAGGCATGAACGCGGAAACGGGAGACACAAGGCTTGGCGTCTTCCGGCTTATAGAACCTTTTCACTGTTATAACAAGCGAGGGGGTGCGTGACGTAGTAGGTCACGTGGGCCTCGCCTATAATAACAGAGTGTACAGAGCCAGTGGGGGGGGGGGGTTCTGGAGACAGTGGGAGAGCCTCGTGGCGTGTGCACAAAACTTGGCGCCACGACGGTGGCTATATGCGAGCCAGGCTCGCGAGGCTCGTGTCACTAGTTGACGAAGCCTGCGGGCTTTAGGTCCTTGGGTGACTGCGGTCACGGGGAGGCGATGCTGTTGCGTGCTCCGAGGTGAAGAGTGGTTGAGTGCCACGATTACGCGTTCTCACGGATAAGAATCGCTCTGCGATCGAGAAAACAGCCGTTGGGCGCCAGAACGGACTTTGTGTCAGCGTGAATGCGGTCACGGAAGCTAGGCTTTGTGGCGCTTCTAAGAATAGGAGTGGCGAATGCACAATCAAAAACCATCTTCAATCGGGTTTGGATCGCTCCCGCCGATCAGAGGATAGTAGGTCTATCAGAGCTAGGGTGTAAGTGATTATTAGTGTATATATTTGTTTTGTTTTTCTTGTTAATAAATATATTTGTTATAATGAAAAGCTCTGTGTGTCTGTGGTCGCTGTGAGTATCCATGGCGTCACAATATTATCGACTTTGTATGCTAACTTTACGTTAAAACGCACTGTTTCATTGTGCATTTACGTCGCAGAAAACATCGCAAATTATACACACGTACGAATAAATTAGATGTTTCCGGGTTTGTAGGCCGTGGTCCACAGCCAACATTGTAAATACACACGTAGTTCACAAGACCGCCGAGGGACTTCACCAGACTCCGGACATGCTGCCGAAGTTAAGAAGAACGCAAGGTTGTTCCAACTCCGCCCTGTAGAGCGCTGGTAACCGAGCCCTTATGGTCACTAGTGATGCGACACCGATAATAAAACATCGTATTTAATATATCGATAAACATCGATATTTGTACAAAAAACTTTTACATCAATGATGCATCCATAATCATCACCTCTGATAACACGAAGACAGCAAGCGCTTGTGCCCTTACGCCATCGGTAACTTGCGGTTTCGCAAGTGTTTTCTAGTATGAAGTAATTCTGACATCTTCCGATCGTAAACGGTCACGTATTTTGAGCGGTAGGTGGGAACAAATATACAAGAAATGTCAAATACATTAACAATCGCATAACAATGTGGGGAGACTGGTAAATAACGGATCCTGTATGTTTTTCCTGTACATTTTTTAGGCAAGGAGTTACCGTTTCATCTTTAAGACTTTTATTATTAGGACAAACCTCTCAGTGATACTTCGTCCTTCAACGCTAATAGAATGTTTAGAAAAAAAGTTCAACCGTTACCACGCGTAATTACTTCGTGAAAACTCTGATGTACTCTTACAACTAGGCCAGACAATAAACTTGTGGCAACATTATTTTTGTATCTGTCGATTAGGGAACAGTTGTGCTATCGCAGCAACACAGAGAATGTAGAACTAGTTATTCAAAAAAGGACATTGCATTCTTTGCCTCCGAGGAAGAACCGCAAGTACAGAAACTTCTCCAAATATACATGCCTTTGACACATCACAAAAAAACGAAATTTTTTTAAAATAAACTTGCAGAAAATGACAGTAATATGTTGTTGCATACATGAATCTTAAGTTTTTAAATATTATATGAAATTTTGCTTCTATTATATAGGGTGTCCAGGGAGAAAACTTTGAAAATAAGGTCATAAGACAATTTTAAGCATATTTTGTCTAATAAACTACTTGGATATTCCGATTGGCTGAGCCGCAATAAGCACTAAAAAGTTGATATGAAAAAACACTTCCTATGCAAAAATTTGCATTTCAGAAACATATAAACACTCCAAAAAATTGTAAATTGTTTATTATTTACAAAAGAAATGAATGTATTTGTTCAGAAAGGAAAATAAAGGGCATAAACAGGTAAAAAATTATAATATCGATTGTGAAAATACACCATTGCCTTTTTCGATTTTCAAACGGAAAAATACTCCTAGATACGTGTACTACAAAATTTCATTCTTGGTTACTGAAAGGGTTCAGAACTACGAACAATTTTGTTCCAAAATTTGTGAAGAAAAGTTGTTTTTATCTAACAAAATTATTTTTATAGGCAAAATGAAAAGTACATTACAACTGTTTGCTAATTTGTGAAATTTCAGCCTCTACCTGAAAATTACGTGACGGAAAAATATGTATCTTCTATTTTGTAATGTAGAAATAACTTTGTAAATTTTCAACTTTTGAAATTTTTAGAAATTTACAGCTAACGTTGCAAAATATAATGACCTTTAGTTTTGCCAATAAAAACCAATTTTGTCTTATAAAAACAACTTTCATAGCTCGGAGTTCTGACACCTTTCAATAACCACCAGTTAAATTTTGGAGGCATTAAGTACAAATATCTAAGAGTATTTTGTTTTTTAAAATCGACGAAGGACGATGACCTATTTTCACAATCGACTTTTAAAGTTTTTACCCATTTATGCTCTTAGTGCCCTTGAAAATTTTTTGTTATTTTTTATGTTGTTTGATATCAGTAGATAGAGTTAAAAATAGAAGACGAGACTTTACGTACTCAGCCTTAGCATGGAATGTTCTAATGCAACACCGGAAAATTTATTAAAAACATTAAAAAATGGAAGTATATTTTGAGGGAAAAAATTAACGCTGCTAAAAAGTCGTTTTTTCTTGTTTTTAATATCATGCTGAATACGAAAATATAATTATTTTCATGATTTCCGACCCTTCGATATTTTGTTAGCCGTTTGACAAAGAATGTCCCGTTTCTGAAATGCAAATTTTTGCATAGAAAGTATTTTTTCAAACCAGCTTTTGAGCGCTTATTGCGGCTCAGACATTCGGGATACACAAGGAGTTTATTACACAAAATATGCTTAAAATTGTCTTAAGAGCTTATTTTCGAAGTTTCGACTTTTCCTCCTTGAACATCCAGTATTGCAATTTATTCTGCGGTCTACCGTTGACCCTGATTGGTGTTCTCCGAGTACCGGAATGGCACTGGTATGCGACTGTTAATTGGCCTTCTTCGCGTCCGCCCAGCCCGCTAAAACCATATATCATTGCCTCTCCAAACTCTATCTCGCAATGAAACTGGAATTGTGTATCTGCTCGCCGGCCGATCGTTCGCCACCATGGCTATTCGGCCGCGCGCGAACGCGGGTGCGGGTGCATTCCATCGTTGTGAAGGCACCCGAGGCATCCGCGGGCAGCGCCATATCCAGCCGAATCGGGCGCGAGGTCGGTCCTCTACGCGTGCCATGCGGAACACGTCACGGC